TTACTTGTAAAAATCGTAGGATTGCATGAGTTTGGCAACCTACTGTACTTACTCATACATATAGGGTATAATTCACAAGCTACGCGTCCTTTACCACAGCAAGAATGTAAAATGTTAAACTAACTTGGTCATTTGTCAAAGTCGGGGGACTCTGGCCTTTAAGGAGGTTTCTCTGCTTCTTTAAATTTGCTCTTGCTATTCTCCAATTGAATGTTTTCGTTCAAGTTCTTATACCGAGAGAAACACTAACTTTCCTTTGACATAGCGACGCATAACTCAGAGGTTTCAGTGAACTTGCACCTATTTCTTCATACCTTTACCCTTTTTCGTGTAACTCCTAACCTTGCACTCATCCAGGGTAAACGCTTCGACGCTCTGAACAAAATCAGCCAACATTTGACCCGCGCTGGCTATTCAGGCGCCAAGGCAATCAGCGATCGTAATGGACGTATACAGGACCGCTGGAACCAGGTCAGCGGACCGAAAATGAAGACCCTGCTGTCCTTCCTGCAGTTCCCACAGAGACGGTCCGAGCTGCTTGAGCAAATGGATCTAACTGTTGATCGCATTAAAGAACTGGGGGTAAGTCTGATTTGGTCAATTTTTTGTATAAATATTTAAAAAAATGTGGACTTCTCTTTCTACGTTGAAAGAGTTCGCCTTCGGGCTAATCTTCATAAGTCATGTTAATAGCGACCTACGGCGTCCGCCTGCCCCCCTCAGCACTACCGCAATGGCAAATCCTTGAAGAAGTCGAGTTTTTTTTAAAACAAACTGCTGCGCTACGGAGACCCTATGTTAATTTTTTGTCCAAAAAGTCGGTGCAAAACAATTGAGGCTCTTAGCTGTTGCTAAAGTACAGTGCTCAATTTTAGTAATGAGGGGAGCTCGCAATGCGGCCCCTGTGTATATCGTGGGTATGCGCCGTGATGTCCTCTAGGAGAGGGTTAACAGTTCTGCCGATGCAAACAAAAAATCCGTTGTGAAAAACTCACGGCCTCGGTGGGAGTCGAACCCACACAACAGGGAAGGCTTTTGCGCAGCCAGCGCTCTACCATTGAGCTACGACGCTCACCGTGCTCCGTGAATTTAATCACACTTGGGTCATTTTACCCGCCCAACTTACCGCTCGAATGGAATCCACAATTACCGATACAGTAAGCTGACTACCCAAGCAAAATTTCCTACTCAACCAAGCTAGAATCCACCAGAATGACTAGAAGGCTCGCTTAATTACTAAAAGGGTTTGACAGACTTGAATATTTCAGTTGACCCACCGAGGCAACGAATGTTTCACAATTGGATCAACTGAATTATTCAAATCTGCCAAACCTTCCTAATAAGCAAACGAAAGTGTGAGCACCAAGAAGTAAATGAGGAAAAGTGGACGCGATCCCTGGGACAAGTATATTTTTATCCGAAAACTTCTAATTCATGTTTGAACGCAGCATCATATACAGGTAATTCGCTCCCAGGGCCTTGCTGTATTTATAGGACGCAGTCTCTATGCTACCATATATCTATGCCAATTAGCGATTCCCCCCTTCATTGAGGATGATTGCCCCCTGGTGCGCTAATTGCTTGATGGTCGGTATGCAAGTTGTTACCTGCTATGTCATCCCTGTTAACTGTTGGCGTGGTGATTGCTCTGTCGGACGAAGTGATCGTCGAGTACAGAACGTTCCCCAAGTTATAAATCAGTAAGACCAATTACGTTGGACTGTTTATTGTCAGAAAGTAGCTGACAACAGGCGCTGCAGAAACAAGCTGCTCACAGTAAACAAGCCGGTTGACGTGTTTGTGCTCTGTTCCTCTGCACAGG